TATCTTTCTCCTCTGACTTCCTCATTTTGAGCTTTGAGGTCAAATACAGGAAAATAAGTTGTTTTTGATTGGCTAAAATTAGCATGGGAATGTTAAATGTAGAAAAGGATTTCAGGGAGTTAAGTTTTACATGTTGATCAATGTAGACATGTTATATTGTGTCTCGAAAGCAACCCCACTGGCTAGTTAAATATATACACGTTGACATGTTTAATAAAATAGCTAAGTTTTAAAATTCCCTTTATTGATGTCTCTCTTTTTAATGGCAGTTTCGCTACCAAAGACATTTTGCCACCCGAATGAGAAAAGAAAGAGAAGATATACAAGAGTGTATTAATTGACACCATCACCCAAGAGAACCCCAGAAGAATGGGCTATTCAACAATATATTCTTTGCCAATGAAAAAGAGGTTGACTGAAATTCAGGTTGAGAAACACCTTGCTCAATTGTCAAAGTTTGACAGTTGGTCCCATATAAATAAAATCCCATTGAATTGAAAGATTTATATGAAAATAAATCACTTGAACTTACAAACCATCTAAATTAATTGTTTGGCAAAGACTTTTGAAAACAAATTCCAGTTATGAAGTTTATGTGATTTGCATAACTTCAAACAGACTGTATATATGTATTTGGGCAGCAATTCCTCTTTAATACATGTTTGTTGGACAAGACAAGGTACTTTTGTTTAGTTTTTTTTAGTTTTTTCTGTTATGTATACAAAGATTTACATTTCTAGATTTAATGAATGAAAAATTGTGCAAAGGTTAATTATTGGTTATTGCGCTTTCAGCTAAACTGTTAGTCATTTTCAAGGATTATTTTTTCTATGCATACCATTTATTATAGTGGTATAACAAAAAAAATAATCCTTGAACATGGCTAACAGATTAGCAGAAAGTGCTCAGAATAAAGAAAGTTTTGAACAATTTTTACATTCACTAAGTCCAGAAAAACAGTCACTCATACACATACCAAGAAAGCTAAATAAACATACCTTGTCAACTTTATTCAAAGAAACACAAATACACACACACACATATATATATATATATATATATATATATATATATAGTGAATTAAAAGTCATTAGATGCATACATGACAAAGAACTTTAGAGTAAAGGGTTGTAATAATAACAAATCCTTCTGATAAACACTAATAAAAAAGATAAAAGACTTTATGGCAGTATTAATGTGCCATTCATTTTATGATCACTAGGCTGATCAATTGGGTCATATGTGCTGCAGCTATAACAGTAATAGGTGTGTCTTGGGCAAAATGGCCTAATATTGCTGGTTTTGAATTCAAAGCTTTATTATTCCATGACTGGTTGACCTACCAAGGCTAAAGAGTTTGGTTTACCCTATTATTTACAGAGTTTTGAATTCAAAGTTTTCCTCTTAGACTGCTTGTTAACTAAGGCTAGAGAGCCTAGCTTACCTTACTATTTAACCCATAGCTGGAGGAGAAGATATGCATACATAACTTTCCTAAGTGAATTAATGCAAAAGTGAATGCATTAAAATTTTTACATCTCTGAGAATGGTTGCCCTACCAAATTTAACAAGTTTAGGCTACCCTATCATTTATGGAGGTTTGAATTGAGAGTTTTCATTCTCTTAGACTGCTTTCCAACTAAGACTAGAGAGTCTAGTTTACTCTACTATTTAACACATAGCTGGGGGGAAAATATGCATTCATGCCTTTCCCAAGTGAATTAATAATGCAAAAGTGAATACAACAGATTGATCTAGAATTTGAACTTGTCTCATCAATTTCACTTTCCATGCCAATAAACATTACAGCACCCATACCCACACATCAGACATTAGAGTATATAAATATATATGAAAAATACATCCCTACCCCTTACCAAAATGTAGCTAATAACTGATATAATGATACAGACATAAGGAAAACCCAGACACCCCTTGTCCAGTTGTAGTAGATTTATCTGTAACCATGGAAACGTGATTTTAGCTGTGTCTTTAAAACCCAGTAATTTTAAAAGTTACTTCAAAATTCGCTTGAGGATGAAATGGAACTAATGTCTTTAATTTAATTGCAAAATTAAATTTGTGGCTTTTAGCTTCCATTTTTGAAACATGGTTAGAACTGTGTAGCGAAAAAAAAAACATATTTTAAATCAATTGATTTATAATATTAATGCTCTGTAAATTTACATTGAGCACTATTTTGTAAAAATAAAAATATCTATAAGAACACTGGATTATATATCTTACTGTTCTTTCTTTCTATATATATATATATATATATATATATATATAATGTCATTGTCATAGTTAAATCTTCAAATAAGAGTGAAAGTTTGACATTTACATATGATAAAAACTTTCTGTTAATTAAATGCTAGGCTAATGGCATAGCACTGTTGCTGGATATCATCTAATGACAGTATTTCTAAAAATTTCAGATAAGTATATTTGGGTAAATTTATCTAAAATTAGGGGAACCGGATAAAGAGACATGCACATTCCACACTAATTGAACCATTAAAAGCAAATTACAAACAATATAATTAATATGGTACTTAATGAAGTTCCGTAAAACCAGATAACAATCCTCACTCATTTATATCTAATATATATATATATATATATATATATATATATATATATATATATATATATATATGTGTGTGTGTGTGTGTGTGTGTATATATATATATATATATATACACACACACACTTTATTTTAGTATATTACATCAAAAAACAAGCCCAAATTGCTACACAATTGCAGTTGTGTTTCAATATGCATACAACACATCTCATCAGGTGATTGTAAATTACTGGCGAGTGAACAATTTAATCAGATTTAAAAGCAAAATACAGCCTCTTTTTATGAAAAAAGAAACAAAGAAAAGAGGTGGGTGGCTATAAGGTCTGTAAACACAGTCTACTTTTTACCTTACAATTTATTTTGATTTGGAATTTGACAATGCTTTTTCTTAGATTTTAGTTGAGCTGTGTTGCATCATATATGGTTTATCTTTCTGCTGGTAAGATTAATTTAGATTTAATATAATTTTGTATTACACTCCTGGTAATGCATGTAACATATGTTTTGTGTTGTTTGATTTTCATTGGTTAATCAGGTTTCATATTCATTTGACTTGTTAAACAAACGTTAGAATAATTTATAGGGTTACAAATTCAAGAAAAGATGTTATATCCTTTTGAAGTTCCAAAAAAATGAATGGATTCCAACTGAATAACTGTAGATATTACTTTATGCATATAAGTGTATAATAATTCTAGTTTGTCTATGTGGGAATCAGCTGATAATGTATATCCATAATATATATTCTGATGAAGCTTTAATAAAAGTGAAATATGTTAGATTGATAAACGTTTCCTATTTCTTCTTTATCTTATCATTCTGTCAGATTCTGATCCATTCCATATTTGATATGTATTTGATCCCAGTTCATTATATATATATATATATATATATATATGTGTGTGTGTGTGTTGATTTCATGGCAACATTATCAAGATGGCTTACATTACACATGTCAGATTCAAGTTCTATTGTACAACATTTAAAAGAACATTCCTGTCCACATTCACATTTAGGGAAATATTAATTGACAATATACTCCAGTATGAAAATAAAAAACAAATTCTTGAAGTGCTCTATATAAAAAAATTGTAACCAACACTAAATAAGATTAATTATGAGTATAGCAACAATGTTTCAAAATACCTATAAAACCAATGTTTTGGGATACTCAATTTTTTTTAAACTGCAGGTTGAGTATTTTAAAACATTAATAATAAAAAAAATATAAATTAAGTTACCTCCCTTACATATTCTTGACGCTAATTTTTAAATTGACTATAATGAAGTCTGTTTCATGCGCATTTACAAAAAATTCACACATATCAATAAAGCCATTGAGAAAATACTGTGGTGTCTTTCTTAATCAGTTTAATAACAACACTAAGAAATTGAGCTGTGAATTTGAGAGGATTAAAATAAAAATAGACATAATATATCTAGATTATTCAGCCAAACATACTTGAATGAAGATATACTGCCTAAATATATATATATATATATATATATATATATATATATTATATTATATTATATTATATTCAAATGAAGAGAAATAACAAACAGATTTAGAATCCACAGTTCTTTAGCATTTACTTTTTTAATAAACTGATCAACTTTTCTGCTTTAGCTTTGACCTGTCTTTTCATTGGTCAAAAGAGACACACCCATAACATTTTAAAATCTGGATCCTCCCTCCAACCTAACGCTTTAATAAGCAAATATATTGTTTTGTGTTTTCAAAAGCAAATCATTTTCATTAAAATTTGCAGGACATTGCCTGATGATGTGATAGAAAAATTTTAAGTAGAAATTTCCGTGTCACAATGTAAAATATTTTTAAATAAAAATATCATTATATATATATATACATATGAGAAAGAGTGGAATAAATAAAATTTAAGGGGAAGTTAATATTCTAAGTTATATTTCATTATCAAATTCAACAAACCTTTAGTAACATTGGGAGTTAGCGAGACAGGGTGTGTGGTGTGTGAGTGAGGAAGAAAGCAAAAGAAAAAGTGTGGGAGAGGAATTGTGGTGAGAGAGAGTGCATAGAAGGAGAGGGAGGGAAGGAAGAAAATGCAAAGAAAGAGAGAAGAAAATTCAGAGAGAGGAGGGAGGAAAAGAATGCAGAGAGTGAGTGCAGGGAGAGCAAGAATGAAAGAATGCAGTGAGGGAGAGAGGGATGCAAAGAAAGAGAGAAGAAAATTCAGAGAGAGGAGGGAGGAAAAGAATGCAGAGAGTGAGTGCAGGGAGAGCAAGAATGAAAGAATGCAGGAGGGAGAGAGGATGCAAAGAAAAGAAAGAAAATTCAGAGAGGAGGAGGAAAAGAATGCAGAGAGAGTGCAGGAGAGCAAGAATGAAAGAATGCAGTGAGGGAGAGAGGGATGCAAAAAAGAGAGAAGAAAATTCAGAGAGAGAGGGAGGAAAAAGAATGCAGAGAGTGAGTGCAGGGAGAGCAAGAATGAAAGAATGCAGTGAGGGAAAGAGGGATGCAAAGAAAGAGAAAATTCAGAGAGAGGGAGGGAAAAAGAATGCAGAGAGGAGTGCAGGGAGAGCAAGAATGAAAGAATGCAGTGAGGGAGAGGGATGCAAAGAAAGAGAGGAGGGAGGAAAAGAATGCAGAGAGTGAGTGCAGGGAGAGCAAGAATGAAAGAATGCAGTGAGGGAGAGAGGGATGCAAAAGAAAGAAAGAAAATTCAGAGAGAGGAGGGAGAAAAGAATGCAGAGAGTGAGTGCAGGGAGAAAGAATGAAAGAATGCAGTGAGGGGAGAGGGGATGCAAAGAAAGAGAGAAGAAAATTCAGGAGGGAGGGAAAAAAGCAGAGAGAGTGAGTGCAGGGAGAGCAAGAATGAAAGAATGCAGTGAGGGAGAGAGGGATGCAAAGAAAGAGGGAGAGAAAGAATAGGGAGAGAAAGTGCGATGGGAAATAATGCTGAAGAAGGTGGAAGAATGCAGAGTGAGAGATAGAAAGGAAGCAAAAAGAAAGTGTGGAGAGAGAGAGACTATGTGTGTGTGAAGAGAAGAAGAAAGAGAAAGAAAACATGTGGAAAGAGTGTGCAGGGGTGCAGAGAAGGAGGGAGGAAAATGCAGAGAGAGAGAGAGAGAAAGAATGTGGGGAGAGAGAGGGTAGGGAGAGAAAGAATATGGATAAGAGAGAGGGAGGGATAGAATGAAAGAGAAAGAGAGGGAGGGAAAGAATTTATATATAGAGAGGGGAAATGCAGGGAGAGTGAAAGAAGAAAGTGAGAGTGGGAAATCTATATCTATTCTTCTCAATGCATACCTGCTTAGAGTTAGCAAATGAAATTGAAGAATAAAGCAGAAACATCACCAATGGACATTTTTCTCTCAATTTCTTTCTTTAGAAGACATTTTTTTTTTGTCTATTCAATTTACATACAAAACCAAATTTTTCCTCCTACATCTCATCGGGTTTTTTTGTTTTTTTTGTATCAATGCTACTGGATACTCAGAGATAAATTCTCATTTTGTGAGAAATGCAGACATTGTAAATAATAAAATGCTCAATGAACCCTCAATTAAAGCAAAAAGAAAAAAATAGAAATAATTTTTAGAAAATTTACAGCAAACATTAGCAATCTAATACAAGAATTAGTTCTTACATTTCTTTTCTTTACAAACAAATCCAAATTACAGAGCTCCACCCAACCTAGGGTATACAACAATCAGATGAAACAAAACAACTCTAAATATTTTTTATACAGTTGTGTTTGGAGTTTTGTTGCCATTAAGTAGATATACTGTAGACAGTTTGTTAAAAAAAAGAAAGAAATTCTCTCCTGCAAACTGCCAATAGCTGCTCTCAGAACAAGATGTTTTGCATAACAATATGGCTGCTTCCTATACAATATGGCTTCCATTAATATGGTTACCTTTGCACTTTTATGTTACTCAAGAATACCTAGTTTCTCTATGCTTTAAACTGGCTAGATGTAGCCATAAGTTCTATGCTAACAGTTTCTTTTCTCACATGTGCACATCCTATGCACAGCTGGGTCAACTACTTGTTTACATGTCAGGGCACCCACCAACATCCTTTGAGGCACAAATCTTCACTTGGTAGCTTTCAGGTCAGCCCTCTGATGCACTGGACTCCTGTGATGATCTGAGTGCAAAGTTTCTTTTGATATCTCTTAGAGTGAGCCGAGTATATATTGGTGTCGCCACAGATCAAATTCTTTTAGAACAAAGGTTTCTTATTGACATTAAATTCAATTCAGATCATCTGGTATTTCCTTTCATGAATCCCATATTACACAACTATAACTGTGCATTTGGCAAATAACTCTTCTCTAAGATATGTTTCATTAAAAATAACAGACAAGGTACTTTAGATAAGATTTTTTATTGTGTTTTTTCTTGTGTGCAAATGGGTTTTTTTCAGACTTAGTGTGTGTAGCAATCTTCCAAATTTTTTTTTTTATTCTCATTGATTTTAGCTAATCTTTTTTTAAGTGCAGTACTAGATTGGCGGTTAGGTCTCGTCATTTTACATTTGAAATGGTTAGATGTAACTGTAAGTTCTATGCTAACAGTTTCTTCTATTACACTTCTCATTTGTGGAATTTACTTCTGGCTTCTTCCTTCCCAGTCAACTTTGATCTTCAAAACTTTAAATACAATGTCAATTGTTATCTTCTGTCTTCTTAATTTCCTCTCTCATAAATAAAAGTTTTTCTCATATTCACTAATACTCAGTAACTCCTTGGATTTTAGCGGCTTTATATGCGCATACAATGCATTTCATCAGGTGATTGTAAATTACTGGTGAATGAATGCCAGTGATTTTCAATCATCTGATGAGATGAGTTGTATGCGTATCGAAACATGACTGCAATTGTGTAGCGATTTTGACATGTTTTCGATGTAATATCCTAAAATAAAGAATATTGGTCTACTTTTTATTGAGCCCTCTTTTAAATTAAATGTTAGGAATATTGGAATTGTACTCTATTCATTCTCATCTTACTTGGAGATATAAGTCCAGCTGAGTTGATTCTCTTGGCAAACCCACCAACATCCTCTGAGGCCTGTTTCTGCTATTGACTATGAAGTCACCTGTCTTTTTTCTTTTACATAATTGTTCCCCCAGTACAAGCCCCAAGAGACACTTAAAGTAGAGGGTTACTAAATAAGGTTGTTGAAAGTGCATACAAGGCAGGAATAATTGGTACATATTATGAGGATTATTGCAAATGGTATGAATTGTATACTACATGGGTTTCAATAGTGGTTCTTTTAAATGCTAAACACTTCTTACACAATCACAGAGCTACCAACAGCTTGAACAATAGTGTAAAAAATAAGACTATATTATTTATTATTAAAATCAAAACTTTATTTTTAAACATTTTGGTTAAATCTCAAATTAAAAATAAGCAAAGTATTAAGAAAAAAGAAAATTTTATTAGAAATGAAGAAAAGAGTGCTGAACTGCTATGTAATATCAATCCTCCTACATGGCAGTGAATGCTGGACAATCTCCTCACAGATGAAGAAGTGGAGGCAACAAAAACAAAGAAAAGTGTGCTGAACTGTTATGTAATATTAGTCCTCCAACATGGTAGTGAATGATGAAAAATCTTACATATGAAAATTTTTAAGGCAACAACTAAGCAAAGTATTAATAAAGGGAGAGGGTGCTGAAAATTTTTAAGGCAACAACTGAGCAAAGTATTAATAAAGGGAGAGGGTGCTGAAAATTGTTAAGGCAACAACTAAGCAAAGTATTAATAAAGAGAAAGGGTGCTGAAAATTTTTAAGGCAACAACTGAGCAAAGTATTAATAAAGGGAGAGGGTGCTGAAAATTTTTAAGGCAACAACAAAGCAAAGTATTAATAAAGAGAGAGGTTGCTGAAAATTTTTAAGGCAACAACTAAGCAAAGTATTAATAAAGGAGTGGGTGCTGAAAATTTTTAAGGCAACAACTAAGCAAAAGTATTAATAAAGGAGTAGGTGCTGAAAATTTTAAGGCAACAACTAAGCAAAGTATTAATAAAGAGAGGTTGCTGAAAATTTTAAAAAACAACTAAGCAAAGTATTAATAAAGGAGTGGGTGCTGAAAATTTTTAAGGCAACAACAAAGCAAAGTATTAATAAAGAGAGAGGTTGCTGAAAATTTTTAAGGCAACAACTAAGCAAAGTATTAATAAAGGGAGTGGGTGCTGAAAATTTTTAAGGCAACAACTAAGCAAAGTATTAATAAAGGGAGTGGGTGCTGAAAATTTTTAAGGCAACAACTAAGCAAAGTATTAATAAAGGGAGTGGGTGCTGAAAATTTTTAAGGCAACAACTAAGCAAAGTATTAATAAAGAGAGAGGTTGCTGAAAATTTTTAAGGCAACAACTAAGCAAAGTATTAATAAAGGGAGTGGGTGCTGAAAATTTTTAAGGCAACAACTAAGCAAAGTATTAATAAAGGAGTGGGTGCTGAAAAATTTTAAAGGCAACAACTAAGCAAAGTATTAATAAAGAGAGAGGTTGCTGAAAATTTTTAAGGCAACAACTAAGCAAAGTATTAATAAAGGGAGTGGGTGCTGAAAATTTTTAAGGCAACAACTAAAGTATTAATAAAGGGGAGGGTGCTGAAAATTTTAAGGCAAACAACCACAAAAGTATTAATAAAGGGAGTAGGTGCTGAAAATTTTAAGGCAACAACTAAGCAAAGTATTAATAAAGAGAGAGGTTGCTGAAAATTTTAAGGCAACAACTAAGCAAAGTATTAATAAAGGGAGTGGGTGCTGAAAAATTTTTAAGGCAACAACTAAGCAAAGTATTAATAAAGGGAGGGTGCTGAAAATTTTAAGGCAACAACTAAGCAAAAGTATTAATAAAGAGAGGGTTGCTGAAAATTTTTAAGGCAACAACTAAGCAAAGTATTAATAAAGGAGGTGCTGAAAATTTTAAGGCAACAACTAAGCAAAAAAGTATTAATAAAGGAGGGGTGCTGAAAATTTTAAGGCAACAACTACAAAGTATTAATAAAAAGGGAGGAAGAAAATTTTTAAGGCAACAACTAAGCAAAGTATTAATAAAGAGAGGTTGCTGAAAATTTTTAAGGCAACAACTAAGCAAAGTATTAATAAAGGAGGGGTGCTGAAAATTTTTAAGGCAACAACTACAAAGTATTAATAAAGGGAGGGTGCTGAAAATTTTTAAGGCAACAACAAAGCAAAGTATTAATAAAGGGAGTGGGTGCTGAAAATTTTTTAAGGCAACAAAATAAGCAAAAGTATTAATAAAGGGAGTGGGTGCTGAAAATTTTTAAGGCAACAACTAAGCAAAGTATTAATAAAAGGAAAGGGTGCTGAAAAGCTATGTAAAATGATGAAACTTAGCTGACAATCTAGAACTGAGCTAAATTCATAAAGCCAACATACCAAAGAGGAATGCTTATCAGAACAATTAACATGAAAATGTTTATAGAAAAAGCAAAGGGAAATTATGTTATGGTAGTTAGAAAGTGATTGAAACCATGATGCCAGGGCAAAGCAGATAACATTGCAGATTCTTTGGATTTTGTCAAAAATCTCTAGATACATAGCTGGTGTTGACATGACATAATCCTTAAAATTCATATTTATAGGAAACATTAGCTGAGTTACTCTCATAGGTGTTAGCATCAGCTATTCTTTTAGAAGGTAAAAAAATTTCTGAGATGATTAAAAGAGAGAAGTTTTGGTTTTGGTTTTGGCTACATTGAAATTACTAAGCCATTTCTTGCCTCAGTTAACAACAGATTAAAGGTTATTTTTGAGATCAGTTGCCATTTTGACTTTATCTGTTGATTTCAATCCATAATGGGAATGACTGTAGAACATTTGCTCCTCCCCTTTTATAGGCAAAAAGCACACAAATGCATGCTGGGATTTTTTTCTTACCCTGTAAAATAGGCCGGTTTGCAGTTTGACATGAGTCAGTTCTGATCTGCTTTGTCTAGAAGAACACTGTGTTCACTTGTCCGAACGTTCACTTGTCTGAACGTCTGCTGACACCAATTCTTAATCTGTGAACTTTTTGCTTTTTTACTGTTAATTTTCCTTGTATATATTTTTTTGCTTGCTTGATATTATTTTATTTTTGCCCTGTTCCATTTTCTTTTTCTTGCAAACTTTGTTAACTCTGTTTGTTGGACAGTTCTGTTCTTTATTTTGCAATTGACCATGGCTTTTCACTCCACATTATCAAAGCGATCAGATTTACCATTAAGACTGGAGTAAATAGATACTACAGTAAAACCTTGATTTGAAAAACATTGAGAAGAGAGTGTGTTGCTTAAATCAGATAAATCCCTTGTGTCATAAAGAATCCAGTTCTGTAGATCCCCATATTCAACGAATATGTTTTGTTAAATCCAAGATAGATTTTTAGAAGTGGTGTTGTTGATGTAATGAGCACTATAATTTAGTTTGTACTCATAACCTAAACTTGTCTGATTTGAATGATTATCTATCTGAAAGAGATTAAGCTGTAACCACACATGTACTAGAATCGTCCTTCCAAAAAATGATTATTTTGGTCTACTCACCTGAAAGTCACTGAGAGCAATCATTTACAATAAGCAGATGACCTTAGCCACACATTAAATAACCAGCAACATTGAGATGAGTGTCTCTCTCACTTTTTTCTCTCTCACTGTTGCCAAGTAGGGTTTGTTATTTATTGTGTCTTTAAAATTAGCTGAAGTTGGCAAGATTTCACATTTTCAGTTAACTTTATAGCTAAAAAGGTTAACATATACCTAGTAACTTAACATAGACACAATGATTTATTCTAGCATTTAGCTTTGTTCAGTAAAAATAAAATCTCAATTCGTTATGGGCCACAAGTGGTTCCATAAATCTAAAAGGGGTTAAATCAAGGTTTTACTGTATTTATGAAACAAAAAGAAATAGTTTGTATTTTTCAATGGCATAATAATGTCATGTGGTTGACTTTTCTTTCTGTTTTGGAAAGAATTGAAAGATATTTTCTACAAACTTTTCAACCTTTAGTTTCGATTTTGCTGTAGAAATTTTTTCTAATGCTCTTGAGTAAGAGGTTTTTCTTACAGTAAAACATCATTTTAAAGAACTGTGTGGGAGAATATATTCCTTCAATCTGACAGTTTCTTAAATCCATTAAATTCCTTAAGAGCAGTCATTTACAATAATCAAGTGACAATTTAGAGTAAAACCTCGATTTAACCTTTAGCACTCTGTAGGTGACTATTTTCTCGAAGCAAAATGTTAGTCCTGCTAATGCAAGTAGAATTTGAATTTCTTGGTTGTGTAGTCATATCCTTCTATGGCAACATCTAAAACAATCATGACTGAGATTGAGAGCCAGGCCACTACAATTTCAAATATATAGAACTAATATATAAAACTATATTTTGAGGGGATTCCATATCCAGTAAAAGAGGAAGTAATATTTATAAATGATGCAGAGTCCTAAATGTTAAAGTACTAACTGGGAGGGAGAAAGTTTTCTGTAAATCCGACAGTTTCTTAAATCTATTAAACCCCTAACATAAGTTATGTGGACTCACCTGAAAGCCACTGAGAAACAGCAATTTACAATAAGCAAGTGACACTGGCTACACATTACAAAACCAGAAACATTGAGGTGGGCATCTCTTTCACCTTCCATCTCTCTCACTCACACACATTGTTGCCAAATAGGGTTTGTTATTTATAGTGAAAACTATTTTTACCTAAAATTTTCAAGAGTTTTCATGTTATGCTAAATCTATAGTTAATAAGGTTAACATGTACTTAGTAACTTAACATGGACTCAATGAACAATTTGTTCTAGTATGTATCTAACTTTGTCAAATAAAAATAAAAAGTCAGTTTGTTATGGCACATGTGAACCTTAAGTGATTCTGTACATCTGATAAATCCCTCATTTTGTAATGTAGCAAGTTCTGTGCACTCACCTGAGAGCCACTTAGAAAGAGTCATTTACAATAAGCAAGTGACATTGGCTACATATTAAACAACCGGAAACATTGAGATGGTTGTCTCTTTCACTTTCCCTCTCTCTCTCACACACACACACACTCATTGTTACCAAATAGGGTTTATTATTTATAGTGAAAACTATCTAGCTGAAATTGGCAAGAGTTTTTATTTCCTGCTAACTCTAGTTATCATGGTTGACATGTACCTAGTAACTTAACATGGACTCAATGAATGATTTCTTCTAGTATGTATCTTTGTTAAATAAAAATAAAATGTCAGTTACTAAATGTCATTTTGTTATACATCATATGATCCATGTGTGGTTCCATAAATCTGATATTCCATAAATTGAGAGACATTAACCTTTATCATTGTATGTGATTTCATTTGCTGTACAAAATGTTTATCCTTCCACTGAAACTGACTGATCCCTGAACAATACTGTATTTGAATTTCATAGTTGTGTTGTCATATCCTGCTATGACAACAGAAAACAACGTTGAATTAACAATAAGGATACTGCAGTTGAGAAGCCTTAAAAAGTATGCAGTGGAAAGGAAAGTAATATTAATAATGCAGAATACTAAAGGTTAAATCAAGGTTTTACCGTATTTCTTGGCAGATACTTTTGGCAGTTTCATGTTAGATACAAAGTGCCACATCTTGTTGATCTTCAGTAATCATTCTGTGGTTACTATTAAATTTTTTCCACATCACATGGCTGCCACCGCTACATTACTTCTTTACCTATTATGTTATACATCGCTCATCAAGTTGAGTCTATTTCTAAAAATGTAATCTGTCCTGGGTAAGATGATAAACTGTATCTGTGTCCCGGGTAAGACGATAAACTACATCCAAGAGCAAGGTGAGGAGGTTTTGAGCAACATGGAACTACTTTTTAATAGCTGGTGTTCCCAAGTGCACTCTGACCCGGGGTGGTAGCACCTGTTAGGGTCCCAGTTATGGGCAAATTGTTAACCCCCAAACTGGAGTTAAAACACTATGAAAGTGTAAAAATAGGTTTTAATACTAGCAATACATTTTTGTAAAAGATTATTGCCAGCAATGAATTTTTGAAGAAAAAATTATTACCAGCAATTTGGACATTTTGGAAGAAAAAATATTATTAGCAATACATTTTTTGAAAAAATATTACCATCGATAAGAATCTTGTCAGCATCAAATAACCCATTGAGGTTGATATGCCATAAAACAAACCAAACCAAACTAAAAATGTAATGCTGCCTAAGTTTTTGGCACTTCAGTTTAAAAGAAATTCTAATCAAAATACCACCCAAAGCTTAAAAAAATTACAACCTGAAAGCAAAATTAATTTTTGTCTCTGTTTTTTCTTCTTAATGGCTTTATTATGCAATTAAAAAAAATAGAAGATATTATTAAATAATCTTATTACAAAATATTTTTATATGATTCATTGTCTCTCTCCCATAACTACCAACACATCTTTCTGTTTTAAATCAGGCCTTGCAAAAAAAAAGGTGTACCCCCACATCAGTTGTGTAACCATTTGTTCACATTCTTAACTTGTGGTAATTGATTAATAAGCAGAATAAACATTTTGCTCCCTTCAGAAAATGGCTTGAAAATTGGGGTCTCATTAAAGATGCCAAAATAAGTTAGGAATAGATGCAGGACAAACGAATAAAGATAGAGAGGGAAAGAAAAACAAAAGACTGTAAGATGGGGAGGGGGGCAATAGATAGAGAGAAATAGGAGGAGGAACAAAAACAGAGAGAAAGTGGGAGAAGAAATACAATATGGAAAAAGAGGGTGAAAAGAAGAGACTAGAGAGAAAGTGGTGTTAGAGAAAACAACAAAGAAATTGAGGAGGGAAGAGAACACAGCAAAGAAACAGAAGGAAAAAGAGAAAATGGCAAAGAAATAGAGAAGGGAAAAGAGAAACTGAGCAAGTAAGAGAAAACAGCAAAGGAATAAAAAGGAGGAAGTGAAAACAGTAAAGAAATAAAAGAGGAAAAGAGAAAACAGCAAACATATAGAGAGGGGACAAGAAAACAGCAAAGAAATTGAGAGGGAAGAGCAAACAGCAAATAAATTGAGAGGGAAGAGTAAACAGCAATGAAACTGAAGAGGAAGAGAAAACAGCAAAGAAATAGAGATGGAAGAAGAGAAAACAGCAAAGAAATAGAGAGGAAAGAAGAGAAAACAGCAAAGAAATAGAGAGGGAGGAAGAGAAAACAGCAAAGAAATAAAGAGGGAAGAAGAGAAAACAGCAAAGAAATAAAGAGGGAAGAAGAGAAAACAGCAAAGAAATAAAGAGGGAAGAAGAGAAAACAGTAAAGAAATAGAGAGGGAAGAAGAGAAAACAGCAAAGAAATAGAGAGGGAAGAAGAGAAAACAGCAAAGAAATAGAGAGGGAAGAAGAGAAAACAGCAAAGAAATAGAGAGGGAAGAAGAGAAAACAGCAAAGAAATAGAGAGGGAAGAAGAGAAAAGTAAAGAAATAGAGAGGGGAAGAGAAAACAGCAAAGAAATAGACAGGAAGAGAAAACAACAACGTAATAGAAAGGGGAAGAAAAAACAGCAAAGAAATAGAGAGGGAAAGAGAAAACAGTAAAGAAATAGAGATGAGAAGAGAAAATAGCAACAAAATAGAGAGGGATAAAGAGAAAACAGCAATGAAATAGAAAAGGAAAGAGAAGACAACAAAGAAATAGAAGAGGGAAAAACAATAAAGAAATTGAAGAGGGAAGAGAAAAAAGCAATACTAAAAATGAAAGTGAAGCAAGTGCAAGCCAAATAAGTGAAAGACATTCTCTTAGTCTTTCACTCTTAAGAGAACAGGTTATTTAGAAATCACTTCACCTTTCAGTATTTCTACCTTTCCTTCTCATGTAATCTACTAAAAGTTATCTCTCCTTCACCCACGCTTAGTTACTCCCACCCACCTCACCAGACAACAGCCTTACCCCCGACCAGAACAACTGTAAACAGTGAGTCATCTCATACAGGGCAGATGAAGAAGGCACTGAATTTCAATTTCTGCATACCTCAAAGCTATTGGCTAAGAGTAAAGCTGGTCACATGGTTGACTACCTAACAGCCTCATGACCACTCTTTCTCTCATCACCCAGGTAGTTCATTTCATCCTGGGTAGGAGAAAAACATTTTATTCCTCTCAT